TCATGACCTAAGCGAAAGTCGGACGCTCAACCGACTAAGCCACCCAGGCGCCCCTCACAGAGATCTTTTAAACCTGGGGCAGTATGTGTATACTGATACGCACAGTGCTATGTAATAGCACATAGTTTTTAAGTTTTATATTATTCTCATAGGCACTTTATAAACTGTTAGGTGAATGCTGTTTGATAGTATTCAGAGTAACATTTTTATGATTAGAGTGCATTTAATCTTGGTTTCTGTGTGTGTCTTTTTTTTTTTTTTTTTTTTTAAATAAACTCAATGTGCAGTCTGGGACTTGAACTCACCACCCTGAGATCAAGAGTTGCATGTTCTACCAACTGAGTCAGCCATGTGCTCCTCTGCATGTGTGTCTTTTTTTTTTTTTTCCTGAGAGAGAGAGAGACAGCATGAGCAGGGGAGGGTCAGAGAGAGAGGGAGACACAGAATTGGAAACAGGCTCCAGGCTCTGAGCTGTCAGCACAGAGCCCGACGCAGGGCTCGAACCCACGAACCATGAGATCATGACCTGAGCCGAAGTCGGACGCCCAACTGACTGAGCCACCCAGGCACCCTTCAGCATGTGTGTCTTAATAAAAACATCTATTAAGTAATTACTGTGTATCAGGCACTAAGGGCTAAAACAAGCACTTTGTATCCTGTTTAAAGTGCATGTCTAATATGAAGCAGAAGATACTGTTTGATTTTTAAAATTTGAGTAGCTTTCTATTATTAAGTGTTTTTTTTTTTTTAAATATTTTTATTTATTTCTAGGAGAGAGAGAGAGAGAGACAGCGTGAGCAGGGGAGGGTCAGAGAGAGAGGGTGTCACAGACTGAAACAGGCTCCAGGTTCTGAGCTGGCAGTCAGCACAGAGCCCGACGCGGGGCTCGAACCCACAAACCGCGAGATCATGACCTAAGCGAAAGTCGGACGCTTAACCGACTAAGCCACCCAGGCGCCCCTATTATTAAGTGTTTTTGTTCCTTTGGTTCTTCCCTCCCACTCTGGCAGTATCTTGAAAAAAAACTTAGTAGCTATTCAACAAGTAACTTATAAACAGGTAGATTTTCCTTCAACACAGGAGGAACTAGAATGTACTTGTAACTGGATGTTGTACACTGTGCGTTTCCAAAGTACACAAGCACTTTCCCTCAGAATGTTACAGTAGTAGTGGGATAAATGTCATTTGGCATATGTAGTGTTGTGCAGGTATCTTGACATTGGCAGATTAACTGCTTGGCTACCATTAAATTCACCATAGCTGTTGATGGATGAAAATACAGTTGCCTAGATAAAGATTAAGATGTGTAACTAAACTACTGTTGTTATTCTGTTGGCATAAACTTCAAACTCTGGAAGGTTTTTATTCATTTAACTTTTTGGAGACGCCTCCTTGCCCCCCACCCCAGCCTCATTAAGTGCTTCATTTCTCTATTTCTGATTTTTTTAAGTCACTTTATAAATAGTCAATTTTTGCTTTGTTTTGTTTGTTCAAATGTGGTGTTATAAAAGGCCAGTGGGATGCAAAAGTTTTATTGCTGTTTAGCAGTGTTCCTGGTGTGGGGCTCCTGGGTGGCTCAGGTGGTTAAGAATCTGACTCTTGGGGTGCCTGGGTGGCTCAGTCAGTTGAGCATCCAACCTCGGCTCATGTCATGATCTCACGATTCATGGGTTGGAGCCCCTCATCCGGCTCTGTGCTGACAGCTAGCTCAGAGCCTGGAGCTCTGTCTTTGGATTCTGTGACTCCCTCTCTCTCTGACCCTCCCCTGCTCACACTGTCTTTATCTCTGGAAAATAAATAAAACATTAAAAAATTTTAAGAAGAGAATCTGACTCTTGGTTTTGGCTCAGGTCATGATTTCACTGTTCCTGGGATGAAGACCTCCATCAGGCTCCAAGTGGAAAGCAAGGAGTATCTTCCCCTCTCTCTGTGCTCCTCCCCCCACCTTCAGAGAGCGAGACAGAGAGCATGGTTGTTCTCTCTCTCAAAATAAATAAATAGGAGTGCCTGGGTGGCTCAGTCAGTTAAGCAGTCTGACTTTGGCTCAGGTTATGATCTCATGGTTTGTGAGTTTGAGCCCTGCATAGGGCTTTGTGGTTGACAGCTCAGAGCCTGGAGCCCACTTCGGATTCTGTGACTCCCCAATCCCCATCTGCCCATCCCTCCCTCCCTCTTTCCCTCTCTTTCTCTTTCTCAAAAATAAATATTAATAAAAAGGAATGACCTTGATGAAATAAATGGTATGAAGGAATATTACCACTCACAAAATATATTATGTATGTATGTATGTGTGTATTTATTTATTTTAAGATTTTAGTTTTAACTAGTCTTCACACCCAATGTGGGACTAGAACTCACAACCTCAGGATCAAGAGTTGCATACTCTACCGACTGAGCCAGCCAGATCCCCATACCACTTAAACTTTTTGTTTAAAATTTATTAAATGATATTTTAGTTTAGAAACAGATTTATGAAAAGGAATTTTTTTTTTCAAAACTAAGCCCTCTACCCAATGTAGGGCTTGAGCTCAGGACCCCAAGAATAAGAGTCTCATATTCTACCAACTGAAGTAGTCAAGCCCCTGGAAAGGATTGTTTTTAATGAGCAAGAGTAGTTTCATGTTATGTGTTACAGATTTTGACAGTCTGTTGCAGGCTTAATAACATACTCTCTAATTTAGGTTAGGTAATTTTAGTTTGAAATTAATCATGCTTATTGGTTATTAATAAAATAATTATGGTATAGCTTTTTCATGCAGATATTACACTACTCTCTTGTCCTTACCTAGTTCTGTGGTCTGTTAGTGATCTCAAGGCACTATTGACCTACATGTGGGTTTTGTTTGGACTATGCAGTGCTTTTGCAAATTTTGCATTTTTCCATCAGTTAAAATTTGGGAGATTGCACATGAAATATGAAATTTTTGGCTTTTTTTTTTTTTTAAGTCATCTCTCTCTCTAATGTGGGGTTTGAACTCATATCCTGAGATCTAGAGTTTCATGGTCTACCAGCTGAGCCAGCCAGGCACCCCTGTGGCTTTTTCTTGTTAATTTGAAGATCTGTCACTACTAAATCTGCTTTTCAGGGTAGCAGTAATTGGTTGGTTCCAAGAATTGGTTATTTACCCTTCTACCTGGACTACTGTATTCATCTGCTTGGCTGGCCCTTGTAGACATTTGTTGATGATTTAGGACATCTGTATTTTTATTACTTTAAATTTAGACCTTTCAAATGTCTGAAAATGAATTTGAGATTCTGTTTAATGAAACAAGTATATAAAACCATGGTTAAAACCAAATTGAAATATGGGCAAGAGTTATGAATGAACAATTTGCAGAAGAAAAACAATGGCAAAAAAAAGTAGAAACTAAAAAGGAAGGATGCTTAGTCCGTGTTATTAGTAATATGGGAAATTCTTTTTTTTTAATGTTTTATTTATTTCTAGGAGAGAGAGAGAGAGAGACAGCATGAGCAGGGGAGGGGCAGAGAGAGAGGGAGACACAGACTCTGAAACAGGCTCCAGGCTCTGAGCTGGCAGTCAGCACAGAGCCCGACACGGAGCTCGAACCCACGAACCGCGAGATCATGACCTAAGCGAAAGCTGGATGCTTAACCGACTAAGCCACCCAGGTGCCCCAGTAATATGGGAAATTCTAATTAATCCAACAGTAGAATACCATGTAAGACCAATCAGACTGTCAAAAATTTTTAAGTTTTTAGAGGATAATGAAAGTGGAATTTCTTTATTCTTTGCTCATGGAAATATTATTTGAAAATACTCTAAAGGATGATTGGGTTATTCTTGGTAAAGAAGAAGGTGTATAAGAAAACATGGACCAAGATGTGTATTGTAGTACTATTTTAAGTAACAAAAAAATAGAAATAAGCTAACTTCCTTCAGGAAAGAAATGGATAACTGGTTTACTTTCAGAATGGAATACTACTATGCAAAAGTTAAAACTAATGAATTAGATCTACATCTGTCTGCATTTACCCATATCAGACACAATGTTAAATGAAAAAAGCCGGTTGCAGAGGATGTATATGCTTTGATACTATTTGTGTGAAGTTAAACACGTTGCTTGCTGATATTCATATATGTAGCAGAAGTACTATACATACATGAGAAAGAGCTACATTATTAGCCTTTGGCTCCAGGGAATGAAGAAGAGAGGATGGGGCTTTCGTTATGTCTATAATTTATTTTGGGGGATCTTAAGCAAGTAAGACAAAATCTTAAATCGTTTATTTAATCTTGACGGTGAGTCATTAGTGTGTGTTACATCCAAAATGTTTCTTTGGTAAGAGAAAAAATTTTAAAGGTTTTATGAAGTTTTTTAAAAAATTTTTTAATGCTTATTTATTAATGAGAGACAGAGCATGAGCAAGGAAGGGGCAGAGAGAGAGAAAGACACAGAATCTGAAGCAGGCTCCAGGCTCTGAGCTGTCAGCACAAAACCTGACGCAGGGCTCAAACTCATGAACTGCAAGATCATGACCTGAGCCAAAGTCAGACGCTTAACTGACTGAGCCACCCAGTTTTATGAAGTTTTGACATGGTTTATATCACTTTTCTTCCTGTATCCTTACAGAAGGTCTTATGATGGGCTTGATATAGAGGTTATAATACATAATTAATTGCAGCATATGGAAAATGTTTCCTAATGTTTTTTAGTTTGAAAATCATAATTGTTTTAAATAAAGGTTTCAGTAGAAAAAAATTGCTTTTATTTAGCTCATTGGTCAGATGTTTAAATGCTGTGAAATACTTAAGTGTTTATTGTTGCTTTTAATGGAATTTGGAAAATGTAAATTGCCTTGGATTACTTAAAACGACTCATTTATTTTTTACCATGGTGATGAATAAATACTCAATCTAGGATTTAGTGATGTTTTAGTTTTAAAAAATTGCCTGTGACATACATTAGGCCAAGGTGAAGATGAACATGTTATTAATCTAGGCTATTTCTGACACTGCTGGTTTTTCTTTTCCCCTTAGGTGAGGCAGGCAACCAATCAGATTGTGATGAATTGTGCTGATATTGACATTATTACAGCCTCATATGCACCAGAGGGAGATGAAGGTAAGTGCTATTTTCCATTTAATTTGCTGTGTCTGTGTGTATGATGTGTGTATGGTGATACATACATTTTCAGATTAAGATATCAGTGTTACTTTAGAAATAGGAAACATTTTTAGATGTTCATGGGAAATATTTTAATAATCTATACTGTGAGATTAAAGAAATGCCATAATTTTAATTCTGCCTCAAACATTAACTTATTTTGTGACCCTAGGCAGATTACATTTTTATAAATGTAAAATGAATATAATAACATGCGTATAAAGTCAAAGAGTTACTTTAAAAATAAGGACTTTGAACATGGAAGATTGGTTCATCAAGGCAGCTTAGTTCATATGTGGTTTTCTTAAAGTTTTTTTTTTCCTCTTGAGCAATAGATTACAAAGGGATAACAAATCTTAGTTGTAATGGAGAGAAAAATATTGGCCTTATGAGATTGAGTGTGGAGGTTAGAAGCTAGATGACCAAGTTAGTTACAGGGTAAGAATATGTTAAAAAAGAACATTGTATACAATGTGTGAGAATTCAGTTAGCATCTTTAAATTTTTTCTTTAATTGTATTATTTATTTCTAGGAGAGAGAGAGAGACAGCATGAGCAGGGGAGGGTCAGAGAGAGAGGGAGACACAGACTCTGAAACAGGCTCCAGGCTCTGAGCTGGCAGTCAGCACAGAGCCCGACACAGGGCTCGAACCCATGAACCGCGAGATCCTGACCTAAGTGAAAGTCGGACGCCCAACCGACTAAGCCACCCAGGCGCCCCTCAGTTAGCATCTTTAAAATGAGAACTATTTTAGATCTTGTAATTACAATAAGGATTAAATCGAGTAGTCAGTTTTGGCCTGAAATCTTGTTCCCACATCAGCTACATTTTTAAAAAGTTGTCAAGTTTGGCAAAAACTCACAAGTATATTGATATTGCAACTGAATTGCTTTTTACTTTATTTTTAAGTTTATTTATTTATTTTGAGAGAGAGAGTGGGAGGGGGAGAGAGAATCCTAAGCAAGGCTCTGCTCCAGTAGTGTAGAGCCCAATGTGGTGCTTGAACTCACGAACTGTGAAATCATGACCTGAGCTGAAACCAAGAGCTGGATGCTTAACCAGCTAAAGCTGCCCAGGTACCCCATAAAATCTTTAGATTTGATATCTGGGAGCTGGCTGGCTCAGTCAGTGGAGCATGTGACTCTTGGTCTCAGGGTTGTGAGTTCAAGTCCCACGTTGTGTGTAGAGCTTACTTTAAAAAGAAGAGAAAAAAAGTTTTTCATTTGATATCAAATAAGTTAGGAACTTGACCTTTTAATTTACATTTAGTATAGCTCTTTCCCCTCTCCTTTACTCTGAAAAGAAGCATATGAGTAACATTTTATGACCGGACAATATTCATTTCATGAGTTTTTCTTAAATTGTCTTGTCCATAGAAAGAAAAAAAAAAAAAAAGAAGTATCAGTTGAGCAGATTATTACCAAGAAGTACTCATGTTCGATTGTTTGTAAATGAGATCAAACTGCAGTGATTTTAAGTTAGAGGAACAGATCCTTCCAGTGGACTTTGAGTGAGTTGCCAACATTAAAGCAATTGTTTGGTAAATGAAAGAGGGATTATTTAATTTCTTTACCTGTGAAGAAAAACCTAAGCACCTCAGCCAAGCAATGCAAGCTAGCTTTGTTTTAGGTAGAGAACATTAATATTTAATACAGAGTTTTAAAATGGTGCCCAGTATGGATAGGGAGAACTAGTAAAATACATGTGCACCCTCCAGCTGGCATGGTTTCAGCTCAGGGTTGTTTTTATCTTCCTCTACTAAAACGCCAGGAGAGAATTCAGAGAACATAAATGCTTTGAATATGCATGACTCAACGGTGCCAAGCTCATACCGATCTGAATATCAAGGAAGCAGTGTTTGTGTTCTTACTAAGAGGGTCAGAAGAGAAATGAAAGCTTATAGGAAATGAAGGGGATTTGGAGAGAGATTCAGATAAAATATTATTTTTTAGATACTTAAAATATTTTCTTCAGAACTAGCTAAGGTATATTTTTCAACCCATTTCTCCTACAGCAACAGGAAAAACATAGTCCTGTGTAAGCTCCTCTAATTTTAGAGTTTAAGAGGAGGGGAAATTGTATTCATGTGGTATTTTAAGGATTCAGTCAGAAACAGATAGATTTGGCCTTCCAGATACATACACAGCTTAATTTTGCCCTTGGACACGGTAGCATTTCTGATTTTTACCTTACGGGAGAGTACAACATGTTTTTTTTTTTTTTTTAAGAAATTAGTAGTTGGGAATTTGCCTGCCAGCTCCTTCTAGTTTTGGCAGGGGAATAACTGAGTCAATAGGAAAGGTACCATTTTCTTAACCCAGCTTATCTCATCTAGTACTGTACTTGTTAATACTTACAATTGCCTTCTGCAAGACTGATTTACATATCTGTAGCCACTAAGTCTTGGTGCTTTAAGGTAAAATCAGAAAATTGTTTGAAAGCCCGAAAATGTTGCTTCTTTGTGTAAGTTTTTAATTGATGAGAAAAGGCCATCTTGTGATATGTGTAGTAACCCAGAAAGACCTACTGGCATGTGTCTCCTTAAACTAAGGCACTGGCTTTGAAACAGAAATAATTTATTTTAAAACCTTTGTAGTATTAAAAAAAATGAGAAATCAGTAAGAAAAACGGCTGAAAACTGTTTTTTTACTGTTCTGCACTTCAAGGGTTGGTGAAATCACTAGCACTTAAGCCCCAGTGCAAGGAGTGCACCTCCCTACACAGGGCAGGGATTAGTATTGTCATCAGCTTCTGCAAGAGAAATACGAAACTTTTGAGTGCCTGAACTCAGGTCCTGACAGGTAAAGAGTCTTTTAATTTATCGTTAATAGATGGCGTGGGCATAACCACATAGAGAATGATCACTTGAAAGTTTTGTACCAGGCTTTTCCCTTAGTGTATACTCTGTCAGATATGTTTGTAGAATTAGCTGTGTAAGGAAGCAGTTTTCCATTGGTGACATAATAGTTCATACACAGTTCTAATACATAGTTTCAGATCCACCAGTATCTCTTTGGTATATTTATAAGGCATGTAAATTTTAACACATTTATTCTTGAAGTAGAATTCTGTTTTTCAGTGTGTGCATAAGAGCACATGTATGTGTTAAAGTTAGTTAGAAATATTGCCAAATATCAATAATTCAGAGCAAAACTATTAACTTGAAAAAAAGGAATGGTTCTTAACACTTGATAATAAGCCTTTATCATAAGCTTCAATAGGCCTTTATAAGCCTGCTGGTAATATATATTCCATCATAGAGTCAAGTGTGGTTGAGGAATAACATTAAAAAACTACCATTTCTTTGCAGTAGAGTTGTTTTTGTCGTCATTTTGAAAATACATGACCAATTGAGCGCTAGCCCTCAGATCTGGAAAACTGAAAGAGAATGAAAAATACCCATTTTTAATACAAATATATTGAACTATGATACAGAATTTCATAACGAAATTTTAAATGAAGGAATCAAAGTATAAGTTTAATTATAAATAACAGTATAGGGTAGGGGCCTCAAACCAAAGTTACTGTTGGGATTAAACAAATAACAAACATGAATGAATTGAACTGGTTGTAAGAAAACAAGAGTGTTGGGGCAGAGGCCAAACCAAAGAGTGCACGTCTCACATAAATGTATTCAAATTTTAAAGAACTTTTCTGGCCAACAACATTTTTGTGAGCTATATTGATTTTTTTTAAATTTGCAGCCTTCCAGGGAACTGTGGTGTGTTATGCATATTCTTTATCATTTGGGCCTGAAAATAAGACTTGAATATAGCAGTTTCATTAAAAAGAGCAAAAACCTTGTATGAGATTTTTCTAGGTTCTTAGTTGAAACTGATGTATTACTATGCCGTATTACTATTAAATCTATTCACCAAACTGTTTTAGTTTGCTGTATATGTTCCAGTGGTATATACTTTTTAAAGATTCGGAATCTGACAATAAACCATTTAAGAAAAAAAATTAAAAATTGAAAAAAGATTCAGCATCTATCATAATACCTCTTCTTAGGTAGCTTTTTTTGGGCACTAAAATGACCTTATTTTTGAGCTCTTATTTTTATTTTGTCCCTGGTTTATTTCCTAGTCCTAAGTTTATTGAGTTTTGGGGATTTTGAATATAAAAGTCTATTATGTACTATTATTCTTCTGAAGAATGGGTATATTAAGGCATAACCTAACCACCATTCCGGGCTGTATTGAGGAGCCAGATATTTTCCTGGGTCTTTGGTAACTTTCAGGACATCCTGTTTTCTGAATTAAATGGTGATTCATTCATTCATTCATTCAAAGTTTATTTTGAGAGAGAGAGTGTGTGCACACCCAAGTGGGGAGGGGCAGAGAGGAGAAACAGAATCCCAAGCAAGCTCTGCACCATCAGCACAGTGCCTGATGTGGGGCTTGAACTCTCAAACTGTGAGATCACTACCTAAGCCAAGATCAAGAGTTGGACACTTAACTGACTGCGCCACCCAGGTGCCTCTGATTTTATTTTTTGTACTAGTGAACTCCATTTTTTATAGCAGTTCCTAATAAAAAGTGCAGAGATTTCCCATATATTCTGTGTCCCACCCACCCCTTTCCCCCTCATTATCAATATCCTGAACCAGAATGGTACATTTGTTACAGTAAATGAACCTATGTTACCACCTCATTAACACTCAGAATCCATAGTTTACATTTGGGTTCTCTCTTGGTGTTATAGATTCTGTGGGTTTTAACAAATGTATTCACTATTACCGTACCATACACAACCGTTTCACTGCCCGGAAAATCCTCTGAGCTCTGCCTGTTTACACAATCTTCCTTCCTAACCCCTGGCAACCATTGATCTTTTTACTGTCTCCATAGTCTTTTCTAGAATGTTATATAGTTGGAGTCATAGGGCAGTATGTTGGCTTTTCATATTGTCTTCTTTCACTTAGTATTACTGCACTTAAGTTTCTTCCATGTCTTTTC